GGGAAGGAATCTCGACCTCCAACGGTAACACCGCCTCCATCCCGTATACCAATGAGAACGGGGTGGCCCCGGTTGATGTGCGTACTGTCGTACGATAACCGTGCAAAGAGAAAGGTAACATCTCGTGCCAGTCCTTATACGTCACAACCATCTTCTGAACAATCTTCTTTATGTTCTTATTGGCCGCTTCGACAGCGCCATTCATCTTGGGCCGGTACGGGGAAGAGTTGTGATGCTCAATCTTAAAATTCTGACACAGCTCTTTCATCATTTTATTATTTAAATTTGAACCATTGTCGGTGATAATCCGCTCAGGGATTCCATATCTGCAGATAATATCTCGTTTGATAAATCTGGCTACCACCTGTTTGGTCACATTGGCATATGATGCTGCTTCCACCCATTCGGTGAAGTAATCAATTGCCACCAAAATAAACCGGTGTCTGTTTGATGTTGTAGGCTCAATCTTGCCGATCATATCAATTCCCCACATCGAGAAAGGCCACGGTGATGACATCACATTCAGAGGACTCGGAGGCACATGGATTTTGTCTGCATAAATCTGGCATTTATGACACCTCTTTGCAAACTTGAAACAATCTGTTTCCATGGTCAACCAATAGTAACCTGCCCGCAACAATTTTCTTGTCATAGCATGCCCACCAGCATGTGTACCAAATGTACCCTCATGTATCTATTCCATGAGCAACTTCTCCTCTTTCTCATCTACACAGCGTAGCAACACCAAGTCGTGGTTTCTTTTGTACAGGACACCGTCCGGGTTCAGATAGAAATTGCCAGCCAATCTCCTGAGAGTCTTCTGATCTCGACTGGATGCCCCAGCCAGATACTCCTTGTTCTTTAGGAAATTCTGGATGTCAAAGTACCAGGGTTTTCCATCGGGAGCCTCGTCAATGGCAAATATGAATGCAGGCCTATCAAGCCGAGAGATAACAATCCGGGGAGCCTCGTTCCAGAAGTTAACTTTATACATTGAAGACAATGTCGCCAGGGCGTCAGCCATTTGATTTTCTGCTCGCGGTACGTGATGCAATTCCACCTTGTCAAAGAAAGGCAACAATCTCCTTGCATAATTCATATAGGGTATCAAATTGGGCTGACGTGTCTCCCATTCTCCTTTAATCTGATTCACCACTAGAGATGAGTCTCCATATACATCCAGGTTCTTGATTCGCAAATCAATGGCTTCTTCCAGACCCATGATGCAAGCCTCATATTCAGCCTCATTATTGGTAACAGGAAAGGTCAATTGGGCAGTAAATGGGATGTGCGACCCATGAGGAGTAGTGATAATTGCCCCTATTCCGCTACCATAGGAATTTACAGCTCCGTCAAATATCAACTGCCATTTGGAACCCAACTCTGGTCCTTCGTCCGGCAACGGTTCTTCACAATCTTTCATCTTCAGGTACATGATATCCTCGTCAGGAAAATCAAACCTCATCGATTGGTAGTCCTCAACCGGCTGCTCAGCGAGGTACTCTGACAGAATGCTACCTTTAATAGCCTTTTGCGAGACATATTGGATATCGTATTCTGTTAACACCATCTGCCATCGGGAAATTCTTCCGGAGAGTGCTTGCTTCTCAAACACATATTTGATTGGATCCATCTTTGAAATTAGCATTGTTGTATGATTCAGCATGTATTGCCTCAAACGCTTGGCGGCCCAGGCTAGCGCGCAACACGTCTTCTCGAGCATCGAGTATCTGGACTCACAGTCGGTAAACTTCTTACTCAAATAGTAGATCACATGCTCTTTACGTCCGGTCTCGTCGTGTTGACCGAGAACACAACCCATACTTTCCTCAAGAACCGTCAAATACATAATCAAAGGTCTCCCGGCCACTGGGGGTATCAAAACAGGAGGTTCCTGCAAGTATTCTTTTATCTTGTCGAACGCCTTTTGACAATTTTCATTCCAGGTCAACACCTGATCCTTTTTCAAAAACTTGAATAACGGCTGGCATGTCGCAGTTAGGTGAGATATGAACCGAGCAATGTAGTTCAACCTCCCTAAAAACCCACGCACTTCTTTTCTGTTTTAGGCATCGGCATTTCTTGTATAGCTTTTATCTTTGCAGGGTCAACCTTTATCCCCTTTTCGCTCACAATAAACCCCAGCAGTTTATCGGATCTCACGCCAAAGGTGAACTTGTTAGGGTTCAGTCTCAACCTGAACTTCCTAAGTCTTTTGAACAGTTTCAGCAGATTAACCAAATGCTCCTCCTCTGTCTGGGATTTGGCAATCATATCATCAACATAAACCTCGATCTCTTTGTGCATCATGTCATGAAAGAGAGTCGTCATAACACGTTGATATGTTGCCCCAGCGTTCTTCAGTCTGAAGGGCATCACTTTGTAGCAAAATGTTCCCCAGGGAGTAATGAAGGTAGTCTTCTCCATGTCTTCTGGTGCCATTTTGATCTAATTATAGCCTGAGAAGCCGTCCATGAAGGAGAATACGGAGAACTGAGCAGTGTTATCAACCAGCACATCAATGTGAGGAAGTGGAAAGTCGTCTTTCGGGCTCGCCCTATTCAAATCACGGTAGTCTACACACATTCGCACTTTACCGTCTTTCTTCGGCACTGGTGCTATGTTAGCGACCCATGATGGATAAGTTGTAACGGCTAGGAAACCAGCACCCCACTGTTTTTGAACTTCCTCCTTGATTTTCACAGCCATGCCTGGTCTGGTTCTTCTGAGTTTCTGCTTAACAGGAGGACATTCCTCTCGCAACGGCAGACGGTGCACAACCATGTCCGTATCCAACCCAGGCATATCCTCGTACGACCAAGCAAATATATCACTATACTCTCGCAGTATCTCAATCAGCCTTTGCTTGATGTTGCTCTGCAGCGCAGCCCCTATACGGATATTTCTCACAACTTCTTCCGACCCTAAGTTGATAATCTCAATTTCCTCCTGATGAGGCAGAATGATTCTCTCTTCCTGTTTCAACAAACGAGTCAGCTCCTCTGGCAAGTTTCTATCCTCAACAATCTCTTCCTCTGCTTTGAATACCCGGTGCTCGAAGTCGAAACGAGTCATAGGCGGTTCGTAGGAGATATCATCTGAAATATTAGTCCTGCAAAGGAAATGGTTAAACGCTTCAACACGCAAACAAAGCAAATAACCACGTTTCCACTTATTGCTAAAGTAAAAACGAGAAAAACAGGGATCACAATATTTGTATATGAAAAACGCCTTTATTTCATGATTAAAACAGTGCAATACACATAATCAAGCAGCCCTAAGGTAAAATCATTATGCCCCGGGTAGGACATAGGATTATTCAACAATTGACAAAACAAATCATTACTGTTTAAGAGTCACTGGGACAGTTTCCCGGATGGACCAGTTGCAGAGACTTTGTCCTGGTGTCATACCCCAAATTTGTCCTACCTTTTTTCAAAATTCTCATTTGCCCGACTTTGTTTTTAATTTACCTCGCTTATACGGCGTAGCGTATTTTTCAGCAAAAACAGGCATTTTCGCTTTTTAGCCCAATAAGAGCATGCCACGTGACATCTTTTTATTTGTTATTATTTTTTCTATTTTTTCTATTTTATTTTAATAATTAGGTTAGATTTTTATTTCAAAATTTAGAATTTAAATTATATTTAGATTAGTTTTTTATTTTATTTTATTTTAATTTTTTAAATTAGAATAGATTATTAATTAATTAGATTAGAATTGTTTAATTAAGATAAAATTAAAATAGAGTTAGAATTTAATTAGGATTTATTTTTAAAAAAATTAGATTAGAATTTAAGTTAGTAATAGTTGATATAATAATTAGAAAACATAATAAAAAGAATTATTAATTAATTAAAAGAAAAAAAAAAAATAGAAATAGAAATTAAGTGAGAAAACACGGTTGATGTGTAGTTGGATATAAAAGGGTAACATACCCTAAGAGTTAAGGGCATTACTGTTCATGGAGCCCTAAATGGGGGCCGCCCCTTTTCAGAAACCCTAATTTAGGAGGAAACTGTTCATCCTCCAACAAAAAAACCCTAAACCGCCGCGAACACTCATTCATAGATCAACTCACCGACCGCCGTAAACCTTTCGTTTTTCCGTTCTTCTTCCTCAACTCACCTTCAAACCCCCAGATTTCTACTTCATAACAACCTCCGTCGTTAACGTATCCCCTACCGGCGTGACTTCAACCACACCGTAACCTCATATTTCCCTGTCTTCTTCATTCCGCCTCCTTTATTTTTCGACAAAACCTTCCTTCCGTAAACCCTCATCACCGTTCACTCTCAATCGATCTCCCTTTCCTCTATTCACCTTCAATCGCTCCGCCATTAACTCCCTCCAACCACCTTGAAAATTGACCGTCGATAACACCGGGGAAGCCTTCTCCAAATCGAGCTTCGAACCTGACCCAACATTATCCCACGCAAAACTCGTTTTATTCAAACTGCACAACGGACGAACATCAGTTGCGGTTCACAAACAACAGTACACCTCAGTTTGCAACAACGGCAAAACCATAGTCTCAGTCACGTCTTCGTTCCAACTCAGTTTTGTCGGTTGCCGAGTTCGTGAAAAATTGATTCTCTGTTGTGGATTACTACCTGTGACTGGTTTATATGCAGGTTACGACATTTCCAAGTTTCGATTACGCGAAAACAAGCCCCCCTCCCAGCTATAGCTTCCGACACGAAGTTGCAGCTGAGGTTTGGTTCCGCACCAACTCATCGCAGGTTCAGATGTCTCAAAGAACAACAACAACTAGTTAGAAATGGAGGAAGTATTAAGTTTGTGCAGAGAGCTGTCATGTTATTTTTGAGCTATTTAATATGGCAAGCTTCTTTGGTGGTGTTTCATGTGTGTTTTTGTTTGGACATAAAATTATTCAAGGACGAAGTCAAGTCTCCTCTTTTGTGCGGTGGAGACATGTCTCCGTTGCTTCTTTTTGATGGATTCCCATCAATGGACCATCAACTCAGGGTTCTCAGGATATGAACAAATCATATGCTGCCATGTTTGCTCCATTTAGGAATGGGATAATCAAAAGCATGCGTGAGGAAGATTACATTAGCAATAGAGAAATGGACCTTCTTTCTATTCCCAGCAATGCAGGAACTTTGAGATTAGTTCAATGGCCTTTGTTTCTGCTAAGCAGTAAGATCCTGTTGGTGGTAGACTTGGCTGTGGACTGCAAAGATGCATAGGCAGATCTGTGGAGCAGGATCTCTAGGGATGAATATATGGCATATGCAGTTCAGGAGTGCTATTGCAGTATTGGAAAAATATTATATTCCTTAGTTGATAATGAAGGAAGACTTTGGGTGGAAAGAATTTTTCGTGAGATCAATAACAGTATATCAGAGGAGTCACTTGTTATAACCTTGACTCTCAAGAAGCTTCCGCATGTTATGTCTAGACTTACGGCATTGACTGGACTTCTGATTCGAAATGATCCCACACTTGCAAAAGGTGCCGCAAAAGCTGTTTATGAGCTATATGATGTTGTTACTCATGACCTGGTGTCTTCCGATTTAAGAGAGAATCTTGATACATGGAACATTTTAGCAAGGGCTAGGGATGATGGCCGCCTTTTTTCTAGGATACAGTGGCCTAATGATCCTGAAATTAAAGAGCTTGTGAAGCGGTTGCATCTTCTGCTTACTGTAAAGGACTCTGCTGCGAATGTCTCAAAAATCTGAAGCTGAAGGAGAAAGGTTGAAGGAATCTCAGTTCATAAATAAATCTTTAACCGCACCCGGCAATGTTATTGCAGCCCTTGCCTCCAAATCAGGCCACATACCTTACAGGAACTCGAAGCTTACTCTTGCAACAACAGCCTCAACATAGGAACGACTTACGTTTTTTGCAACGACAACCAATTCTTCTCCACAAGACATAACAGAAGCGGAGACAATAACTCACCGATGAAACGCAAGGTTCAGATTTGCGGCACAACTCGGCATGGTTTGTATCTCTAATGCGTCACAAGCAAGAACGTCGTCGCAGCTTCAATAGCACCCTAATCTAATAACAGGGTAACTGTTTTGTTCTAATTTTCATTTTTGTTATAATTTCATTTTAATATATTGTCTTGCTTCACTGCATATGTTTGAGTTCTTTGTGCATATTATACCGTCGCTTGCAAGTTGTATCACCTTGTGACAGGCTGCTGCTGCAACTTATGTTTGGCGACGACACTTCGAGCAATACTCTGCAGCAGCGATACAACACCTTCGAAAGTTCACGCGGATCTTCCTTCGTAGCCACACGCCACTCGTTAACTCCACCGACGGTGATTCCGACAATGCCACGAATTTAGTTCAGAAACTCAAATTTGCAGTGGAAATTCGACATTTCAAGCAGTGCGAAAAAGGATGTTATTGTTTCTTCAGCTGATGTGGTTTATAGATCGATGAGCAGTAGAGCTTTTTTATTATTGCGTGCTTAATTAGTGTCGCCAATTCCGTATGCACAAGTTCTACAATAACATCAACACTATGACTTTTCTTCGACTATATCTCGACATTTGGTAACACTTCAAACTAATTCATAATCTACTGTCATTCTACAACAAAAGTTCAATGTCAATTGTATGCTTTTTTTTCCTGATATATTGAACTATGTAGACTCTAAATGCTTGAGTTGTTTTACTAAGTTTTGACCGTGCAAATGGATTCATGTAGCAGACCATTTTAAACTGTCATATAAATGCTGAAAGATAGTTGTATTTCTACTACTGTGAATACTTAGTTATCTCGCTAACACTTCACACTACGTTGAACTTGTAAATTGGTATTTAAAGATGAGTTACTATTGCTGCTTGTATTTTGGTCCTGTTAGTGATGCATATGCGTGAGTTGAGTTCAAAAACGGTAACTGTCTATTTTAGTTTTTGCAAGATATATAAGATGTATGCTGTTCTGAATTCTCTGCCATCACATGGTCAGTTTCGAACTCGCGAAATTCATTTTTTTTTCTATTCTATTTGGCTGGCTATTGTTTCTGTACAGGTTGCAACGTCGCCGAGTTTCGAAGACGTGAACGATAACGCGAAGTAGAGGTGCAAATAACTTCACCATTGAACTTCAGCAGCAACGACAACACAAGTTTGTACTCGCAGCAGCATTTGGCGTTTTGAGTCGTGCGCGAGCTTCGCTTCAGCAATAGTATAACATTACACTTGCAGCAACGACATTTTAATAGCCACTGAGATCACGCCGTTCAACTCAACTTGGTTTTGTCGACTTCCAACCTCAGCGTTGACATTCGCGAACAACAACAACGAGTTCAGTGCCGACAACTTTGCAACAACACCGTGACTCTTCTAGAAGCAACACGACAACATCCTACTTCGGCAACATCAACAACAACGCGGTTACGCCATCCAAAGCTGGCAATAGAAGCCACTCTGGTGCAATGGGAATTCAAATTTCTAGCTGGGTTGATTTGGTCTGTGCTTTAGTTGGTCCAGGTTCAACAAATTCAGCGTCTCAAAGTCGGCGTCGGTAAATCTTTGAATCCTTGTTCTTTGGTTCGATTATACATAAGCACTTAATTAGGCTTGGTTGCTACTGGAGATTTGATGTATTTATCATTGTTTATAAGGAATTTTATAGTTGTTTTTATTCTAAAATTTTTTGTCGAATATCCGACGTGACGTCGTTAATATTCAAGTTGTTGTTTTGAATTAACAATATTAGTTCTTGGTTAGTAAATTATATCTAGCTTTTGTTGTGTTCAAATGTCATTTTAAAAAATATATTTCAAAAATCATTACCAAATTAATACTTTTAAATAATAAACCTTTCAAAAATATATTTTATTTAAAACCTATTTCTTCTCAAAGATATTAACCTTTTCAAAACAATTAATTGTAATAATATTTTAAGTATAAAAAAAAATATATACTTTATTAATAAAGCTAAAATATTTTTCTAAGATATTAAACTTTTTCTTTTTTCAAAAAAACAATTAAATATGACTAGCTTTTCTCAAAATCTTTTTATAAACAATTGATTAATTTATTCTTATATCTGAAAATCAAAACTATCTTTCTTAATTAAATTAAACTATTTTTTCTCAATCAAATTATACAATCTTTCTAAAATAAATTTCAAAACAATTAAATTCTCGGATCTCGCCTTCCTTGAATTTTTTAAGCGACCGCTCTCGAGGTGCACACCTCGAGTTGTGACCCTTTCGATCTTATTTTCTAGAATACATAGCGCGCCTAGTCCAAGTACGCTAATATTCCTAATTTATTTTCCCTAATTAACTTACGAAAAATCGAGTTCTTGGAGTCGTGCATTCCTCGAATTCGAGAGTGACTACTATTGGGGCGTACGCCTTGAATGGTGTGTCGTTCGAATTTTCGTTTCCAAAACACCTCCTTTAATTATTTGGACAAGTACTCTCACTGTCCAACAAAAACTATTTTACAATTAATGGGATGAAAAAATTGTCGTTGGGATCTAGCATTCCAACGATATCCCGACTAATTGATTATGAGGCCGACGTCTCGTTTATCGAGTAGTCGTCATTCCTCCTAATTTTTCAATCCGCATAACCTCGTTTCTCACCCTCGTGTGATTGAATCAAAAATCTCTTTCAATTCAAACTCTTTCGCGTCTAAACTATCCATCAAATATATTTCGAATGAAAAAGGTATCGTTGGGATCTAGCATTCCAATGATGTCCCGATTGATTTGATTACGAGGCCGATGTCTCGTTTATCAAGTATTCGTCATTCCTCCTAAACATACAACCTCTCTAACCTCGTTCCTCGCCTTCGTGTGATCGAGTCTAAACCCTAGTACGCTTCTAAACCGTACATCAAATTCAAATTATTTTCTTAATCAAATTACGAAAGAACTGAGTTCTTGGAGTCTCGCACTCCATGAATTCTTGAGTAAACACTCTTAGGGCGTACGCTTTAGGTTGTGGATTACCCGACCTTTCGCCTATAAAACACATGCCCTAATTATTTGGACAAATATCGTCATTGTCCATTCAAATACAATTTCATATAATGCCCCGATTAATCGATTGCGAGACTGATGTCTCGTTTATCGAGTAGTCGTCATTCTCCCTTAAAATATTCAATCCAACTATCTTCTCTTGCCCTCGCGCGATTGAAACTTTCTCAAACATATTTCGTAATTATTCGAATGAAAAAGGGTGTCGTTGGAATCTAGCATTCCAATAATGCCCCGATTAATTGATTACGAGGCTGACGTCTCGTTTATCGAATAGTCGTCATTCTCCATCAAATTGCCTAACTAAACTCCTCTTTCTTGCCCCCGTGCAATCAAAACCTTAAACCTATTCAAATATATTCTCTAACCAAAACATCCAATATGATAAACCAAATTCCCCGCCCTCGTGCGATTTTCAATCCAAACACCTTTTCCTAAAGAACATTGTTTAATCCTTTCTTCCACGCATATGAACTCGTGCTTCAGTCTCCCTTAGCGAGCAGACAAACCAACGTTTAGCAGTTAGAATGCGACCTAAACACTCGTTCAAGTTTCAAACCCTTTTACCGTAGTAAGTCGAACTACGGCTGCTCTGATCTCTCATATCTGTTGAGAGTACGTAGGCATAGGATCGCGATGATCCTAGCGAGCACCTTTCCTTATTTCCCACCTTTAGGTTCCCATACCTTTTACCAAAGAACATTGTTTAGTCCCTTCTTCCACGCATAACAAACTCGTGCTTCAGCCTCCCCTAGCGAGCAGACAAGCCAACGTTTAGCAGTTAGAACGCGACCTGATCACTCGTTCATTTCCAAACCTTTCACCGTAGTTAGCCGAACTACGGCTGCTCTGATTCTTCATTCCCTCTTGAATGTAAGATACGTAGGCACAAGATTGCGATGATCTTGGCGAGCACAATCCCCACTTTTACCCGTAGTCCCACGAACTACGAATGCTCTGATTTTCCACTTCTTATAAGTGAAGATACGTAGGCACAAGGGCCCAAATCCTTGACGAGCACCCTATCTTAAAACCATCCATTCCCCCCTATAGGAGAAATCTTTAGAAGAAAACAAATAAGCGTAGTTAACTTTACTCTCGAATCGAATCAAGAGGTTCCCGTTGAGTACAACGGACATAGAGGGTGCTAATACCTTCCCTCTATGTAATCGACTCCCGAACCCAGAATGTGGTTGCGATGACCATGTTCTTATCTCCTTAAAGGTTTTATCGATATTTTCCTATTCCGTCCTTGGAATGAATAAAGTTCGGTGGCGACTCTGTTCGAACGTTTTTTCCGCGTCCATCGCGAGGATCGTATTTTTCGAGGTACGACAGATGGCGACTCTGCTGGGGAAATGCATTGCCCTATGCAAGAGAGAGTCAAGCCTAACTTGACTCGATTCGAGAGTACTAACCTTTTGCTTACCTGTTTTCTTGATGTTTATTTTCTCCTATTGTTTATCTCTTGTTTTCTCTTTCTATCATATGCTGTTTATTATATCTGCCTGCTGGATTCGGGGATAACATTGCAAGTAAAGTTCTACACCCGAGCTTTGGAAAAAGAAGAGAGAAAAACATAGTTTAGAATTGGTAGTAATTAGTGTTAGTCCCCAAGGACTCGCTCCTTGTGTGCCTAGCATGAAAGCTCCTCCAGAATAGACCTTTTCGTAGATTCTATCGTAACGCAACTAGCCTGTTGCACGATTTGATTCATGAAGGGT